AAGAGAGCAATTAAAAGGTTATTAAAGTGCCAGAGCTCTGGGGGAAGGGCATAGAGAAGAAACACACAATCAGTTTTTGGATGTTGGCAATTCTCAGCTTTATTCCATACAGCTTATAGACTGTCCACCTTAGGAACTGGATCTGTGGATCATAGGCAGTCCTCCCCTTAGATATTTCACTAGCGTTTTACCTTTTGTACAAATGCTTATTCCTTTAGATTTGTTGGAATAGATTTAAAAAATCTCTCTAGGGCTTCCCTGGTGGCGCAGTGGTTGAGAATCCACCTGCCGGTGCAGGGGATGCGGGTTCGTGCCCCGGTCCGGGAAGATCCCACATGCCGCGGAGCGGCTGGGCCCGTGAGCCATGGCCGCTGAGCTTGCGCGTCCGGAGCCTGTGCTCCGCTACGGGAGAGGCCGCAGCAGTGAGAGGCCCGTGTACCGCAAAAAGAAAAAAAAAAAAAAATCTCTCTAAAAATCAGAGCATCGTCACGACGTTCCAAGGCTCCTTTTCCCCCGACCATGATCAATGTTGACATTCACCTCAACTTCATTCCTTGGTCTGTTGTATATAATATTCATGACCTACGGGAAGAGGGCACACCCCTTCTTGTGGAGGTCAACCTTGGCCATATAATGGGGCTGACTTTGGTCAATGAAATGTGAGTGGAAGTGGCTCCTGTCCCTCTGAGAGGAAGCTTTAAGAATTCCCAGGTCCCTCTTGCCTCTGCCACAAGACCAGCCGTGATTTGGATGGCGACTGCTCCATCAGCCCAGGGTCCTGAGATAAGAGCGAGAGCTCACCCAGAATGGACGTGACATGTGAGTGAGAAATAGCCCTTTCATGTCATAAGTCACTGAAATTTAAGAGTGGCTTGTCATCGCAGTGTAACTTAGCCAAAAATGACTGCTTGTAAGGTCCTAGCTTGTATCTGTGAATTTAATTTTCCACTGAAGCACCTCTCAAGTCCTTTGGTTTCCAGTCTTATTTTATTCAGACTTTAATTTTTTATCTATCTACCTACCTTTCTACCTATCTATCTATATTCGGACTTTTTAAAATTCAGGAATGGATATTGAATTTTATCAAATGTCTTTTGTAGCATCTCTGGTTATCATAATATGGCCT